TCAGTCTTTAAAAGCAGGCAAATGTTGAAAGCTACTGAAAGCAAACTTCAGTTCACTGCTTAAGTATTATTATTATTACACTTTATTTATATCCTGCTTTATCTCCCCAGCTGATTTCTATCTGGTTTCAATAGAGGAGAAGTGGAGAGCCATTAGAAGTCTCTGAAAGTGTATATATAAGGCAAACATTTGATGCCTTTTTACACAGTAAACAATGATATACAATACACAGACAGAGGTAAAGGCCTTCACTTCCATCTCCGGCTTTCTGGAGGCGATGCTCAACTCCAGCCATGGGAGGTGCTCTTGTTCCATTTTTCCATGCCAATGAGACTGTTGTCCATAGACTTCTCCAATCATGTTGCCAGCATGTCAGCATGGGGCGCTGTTTTACCTTCCCACCAAGGCAGTACTTATTGATCTACTCGCATTATATGCTGCTTTATATGCAGTTTCTCAGGTCGCTCCTGACATGACAAAAAAAAATTATATGCTTTCAAACTTCTAGGTAGGCAGAAGCTAGGGGTGACAGCCAGGAGCTCACCCTAACTGGTGGTTTTGAACTGCTAACCCTCTGGTCAGCAGATGTGCTGCAGCTAACAGTTTAACCTCTGCGCTAACGCTGCCCTTGTTGTAGGTTTAGCATTTATGAGCCTCAGACTGCTCATTGACTTTTAAAGTTAGACCTTGATCTGAGTTATGGTTTCTTGATCTCAGACTGTGAATTATTGGATATTTTTCATGCTTTGGCTTGTATATGGTGCTGAACCTACTTGGGATATAATTGTCATGGCCTATGGCTGGTACAATAAACTATTCATTCATTTATTCATACTTAGGATATTGGCTTCAGCACCTTGGATAGCTCTTCTACAGTATGGACTATAGTTTGGAATGAGATTGCTACTTTGCTGGGAGTTCAGTTTAATTTAGTGCTTTTGATAGAAAAGAAATTGGCTATGGCTGGTTCTTTCAGATGCTGCACTTTCTATATAACTCCTTATATGTCAATAACTGTATTTGTTTGGTGGAACTATGAGGAGCTAGTGCTAGAAACTCCTATTTAAAAGTTCTGCCGTACTTCTGAAGTTAGCCTGGCTTGAATGCTCAGCTGGGACCCCAAGAGGTCAGAGTTCAAACTCTTGCTTAGCCACAAAAATCCACTGGGTAATTTTGGAAAAGTCTTCCTTTCAACCTGAGAGGAAGGCAATGGGAATCTTTCTCCAAATAAATCTGTCTCAAGAAAATCTGATGAAAAAGTAACCAGAAGTTGGAATCAACTTGAAGGTATATAACAATACCTCTGATAAGCTAACCTACAACAACCCAGTAATTCCAGCCATAGAAGCATTTGACAATACAAACCCAAAGACTGGCACCATATTTGTGATCATTGACTACCGATGTTTCTTTCATTGTGGATGCACCAGGACTGTGGCGCAGCTGTCTGAGTGTCAGCTGCATTAAGATCATTTCTGACCAAAAGGTCATGAGTTCGAAGCCATCCCGGGTCGGAGTGAGCTTCCGACCAATTGTGTAGCTTGTTGTTGACCTTTGCAACCCGAAAGACAGTTGCATCTGTCAAGTAGGAAAATTAGGTACCACCTATGTGTGGGGAGGCTAATTTAACTAATTTATGAGGCCATAAAAAAGACTCCAGCAAAGCACTCCAGCAAAAGCATGCGGGGAATGCGGAAGTACTTCATCAGTGTCGCAGATGGACGATGAAAGTGACAGCTCCCCTGGTGGCCAGAAAAAGTTAAATAGCCTCTGACTGTCTGCCCCTATCTGTTGAGGTTTTTTTGTCGTGTCAGGAGTGACTCCTGGTGTGAGAGAATTGGCCGTCTGCAAGGACGTTGCCCAGGGGACGCCCGGATGATTTTGATGTTTTATCATCCTTGTGGGAGGCTTCTCTCATGTCCCCGCATGAGCAGCTGGAGCTGATAGAGGGAGCTCATCCGCCTCTCCCCGGATTCGAACCTGCGACCTGTCTGTCTTCAGTCCTGCCGGCACAGGGGTTTAACCCACTGCGCCACCGGGGATCTGTTGTGTGTGTCTTTGGCATTGAATGTTTGCCATATATGTGTACATTGTAATCTGCCCTGAATCCCATGTGGGGTGAGAAGGGCAGAATATAAATACTGTAAATAAATAAATAAATGCATACATACATACATACATACATACATACATACATACATACATAAATAGCAGGTAACTGCAGTAACTGAATTTCCAGGTCTGGGAAGAGGGTGATATACCCCTGGGGGCAGTGAGTGTCCCTTGGTTCCTCTTCTAAATGTGAAAGGTGTGTGTCAGTTGTGGATTGGAAAGGCTTGTTGATGTCCTCTGCCTTAGGAAAAGCCAAACATTTTCATCCTTCATGACCGCTTGGTTAGTAACACAGCTGGTGTCTGTCTCACTCTGCTAGCAACATTGGACATCTTTGCAGTGGAGGAGCTGTGGCTTTCGAATGCATGCAACGCATGCCATTCCAAGAAAGGGGGAAAGCAGAGGTGTTTGTGTGCTCCTTTTGACATGTTCTTCGCCACTGGGAAGATAACGATGCTGCTAATTTTGAGCACCATCTCCCCCCATCCCTTTTTTTAAAATCCCAATTTCATTTGCTTCAGTCTCCAGTGAAGGTTGGTTGCTGTGCCAGCCAGGATCCTGCATTGCTATTGGTTGGCAGCTCGGATATGTGTGTGTGTGAAAGCGGCACTGATGTATCTGCGGAGACAAGAAAAGATGAGAGGAAAGGAGGGTAGGGGAGAGAGAGAGAGAGAGAGACTGATTGCCTGGACTCATGATCTTTGATAACAAATAGAAGCCTTAGATGATCTGCTTTCCGACAGATGGCGATGGATTGGGGCCATCAATGGGTTTCAAAGAACATGAAAGGCACTGCAGATGACTTCAACCTGAGAAGTCTGTCATAGCAAAGCATTTGATGAACCAACCTGGACATATTATTTGAGAACACAGAAATGCTGGACCACTCTATCTACCATGTCAGGCTACACAGGGAAGCCACTGAAATCGACAAGCGTTGTGGACAATTTCAACAGAAAGGAGGAAATCATGAAAATGAACAAAATCTGGCCACCAGTATTAAAAAAAAAACGTCTAGAATCAGGACAGTAAATAAAGAGCAACACTCAAAAACAGGAATTCCAGACAAGAAACAATCTGGGCCAGCTAATCACCTTCCAGCAAATAATATTTTGTGTCCAGAGTGGCTGACTTCTCTGGTTGAAGTAGTCTGCAGTGCCTTTCATGTTCCTTGAAGCCAGACTCATTGATGGCCCCAATCCATCGCCATCTGTCAGAAAGCACATCACCTAAGGCTTCCATTTGTTATCAAAGGCAGTCAGTCTCTCTCCCCCTCCCCTTTTCTCTCTTTATCTTTTCTTGTCTCAGCAGACACATCAGTGCCGCTTACACAGACAGCTTACACACACACACACATATCGAGCTGCCAACCAATAGCAATCCAGTAAAGCTGATCTGAGATGGTTCCAAACAATTGATTTTAAAGTGGAAATGATTGGTTTTAGTTTTTATGTATATTTATAGTTTATTTTATGTTCCTGCATAGAACGTTTGCTGTATATATGTTGTGCTCTGCCCTGAGTCCCCTTAAGGGTGAGAAGGGTGGAATACAAATGTTTTAAATAAATAAAGGATTTCCCCCAGGCAGTAAGCAGCCAGACCTTGAAGCTGCACGGCTATTCAGTGCTAACCAAGGTATCCATTTGCAACTTTCAGGACAGTAAATAAAGAGCAAAACTATAAAATGGGGGTGGGGGGAGATTCCAGACAGGAAACAATCAGGGCCAGTTAACAACTCCCAACAAAGGATTCCCTCAAGCAGGAAGCAGCCAGGCTTCAAAGCTGCAAGGCCATAAAATGCTAATCAAGATGGCCTATTGCAACATTCACAGTTGCCTCCAAGAGACAAGAGTTCTTTCTCTCACCCTGGACATTCCAGAGATATATAAACCCCACTTGCCTTGCTTCCAACAGACCTCACAATCTGTGAGGATGCCTGCCATAGATACAGGCAAAATGTCAGGAAAGAATGCTGAGAAGTCTGCCTAAGGACTCCTTTGTTGGGAGGTGTTAGCTGGTTCTGATTGATTCCTCCAGGCAGGAAGCAGCCAGACTTTGAAGCTAAAAGGCCATTAAATGCTAATCAGAGTTCTGACAAGGGTTCTTCCTCCCACCCTGACATAGCAGCAGGCGAAACATCAGGAGAGAATGCTTCAGGAACATGGCCATACAGCTTCAAAGTCTGGCTGGTTGTTGCATGGGGGAATGCTGTCTTGGGAGGTGTTAGCTGGTTCTGATTGATTCCCCCAGGCAGGAAGGAGCCAGACTTTGAAACTAAAAGGCCATTAAATGCTAACAAGAGTTCTTTCTCCAACCCTGCCATAGGGGCAGGCGAAACGTCAGGAGAGAATGCTCCTGGAATTATAGCCATACAGCCCGGAAAACTCACAGCAACCCAGGGTCCGATGGAGAATGTGATGAAGCCGATGTTTTGATAGTCCAGTGGTTCTCAACTTGAGGGTCCCAGATGTTTTGGCCTTCAACTCCCAGAAATCCTAACAGCTGGTAAACTGGCTGGGATTTCTGGGAGTTGTAGGCCAAAAACATCTGGGGACCCCAGGTTGAGAACCACTGTGATAGTCGATCAATACAAAGACTGGAGGGGGTTTAAAAGCAAGCAGGACATCTTGGGAGGGGTGCCCAGGCCTCTCTCTCTCTCTCTCCCTGGAGGGGAGTCGATGGGGCCCAGATCAGAGGAGGAGGAGGAGGAGGAGGAGGAAGAAGAGGAAAAGGCGAGGAGCCTTGTTGCCCCGGAGCCCGGCGCAGAGATGCTGGCCACCAGGCAACGGCGGCGGAGGGGGGAGCTCCTGAGAGGCTCTTAGAGCCCAGCTCGTCGCCGCTTGGAGGAGCGAGGGAGGGACGGAGGGAGGGAGGGAGGAAAAGGGAGGAAGCGGAGGGGGGGGGGGCCCCGCTTTGCGGTGTCGCCGCAAGGAAGGAAGGAAAGCAAGGAAGGAAGGAAGGAAGGCAAGGAGGCTGGAAGATGGTGTGGCGGCTGGGGCTCGGGGGGGCCGGCGCCCCTCTGCTCCTGCTGCTGCTGCTGGCGGGGCCCGGCGCGGGTCGGAAGCCCCCCAAAAGGAAGTGCCCGCTGGGCTGCACCTGCACCAAGGACACCGCGCTGTGCGAACGGGTCAAGGAGATCCCCCCGGACCTGCCTCAGCACCTCGTCTCCCTGTAAGCCCCCCCCCCCTTATTGTTCTTACCTATTCTTCTTCTTCCTAAAGATATGTCATCTATCTAGAGATATGTCTCTATGATATGGGGGGGGGGGGTCGCACTGCCTCCATCAACACGCTTGGCCTGGCCAGGGGTCTTTGCCATCCCTCATTAACCCCTTTTCCCCTATCGCCTGCTCCACATGGAGTCAAAGCATTTCACAGACCCTTGCGACCCTCACGAATGACAGGCCTGGACCAAACTTGGCACTGTGCAAACTGGCAGGGTTTAGGGGTGATTGCTCTGGGAGTCTGGGAGTTGTAGTTCACCCTTATCCAGAAAACCCAGCAGAGGATGGATCTGGACCAAACTTGGCACACAGAACCAACTGTGAATACAGGCTGGGTTTGGGGGTGCATGCCCTGGGAATCTGGGAGTTGTAGTTCAGCCTTGTCCAGAGAACACTGAACCCAGCAGAGGATGGATCTGGACCAAACTTGGCACACAGAACCAACTGTGAATACAGGCTGGGTTTGGGGGTGGGTGCATACCCTGGGAATCTGGGAGTTGTAGTTCACCCTTATCCCTTATCTTTGCCATCTCTCACTAACCCCGAGGAAGGTTTTGGGGGGCAGAAAAGAGACGCTACAAGACCCCTTTTCCCCTATCGCCTGCTCCACATGGAGTCAAAGCATTTCACAGACCCCTGCAACCCTCACGAATGACAGGCCGGGACCAAATTTGGCACACAGACCGACCATGGGCAACTGTGCATATTGGCAGGGTTTGGGGGTGACTTACTTACTTACTTTCTTACTTACGTACTATGTTTATAAACCATCTTTCTAACCCCTGGATGATTGCCCTGGGAAGCTGGGAGTTGTACTTCACCCTTATCCAGAAAACACTGAACCCAGCAGAAGATGGATCTAGACCAAACTTGGCACACAGAACCAACTGTGAATACAGGCTGGGTTTTGGGTTGCATGCCTTGGGAATCTGGGAGTTGTAGTTCAACCTTGTCCAGAGAACACTGAACCCATCCAACCAGGGTTTGGGGGCCAGGAATGAGATGCTACAAGACTCCTTTTCCCCTATCGCCAGCTCCACATGGAGTCAAAGCATTTCACAGACCCCTGCGACCCTCACAAATGACAGGCCTGGACCAAATTTGGCACACAGACCGACCATGGGCAACTGTGCATATTGGCAGGGTTTGGGGGTGATTTACTTACTTGCTTGCTTACTTACGTATTGTGTTTATAAACCACCTTTCTCACCCCTGGACGATTGCCCTGGGAATCTGGGAGTTGTAGTTCACCCTTGTCCAGAGAACACTGAACCCAGCCAATGATGAATCTAGACCACACTTGGCACACAAAACCAACATGGCCAACGGTAAATATTGGCTGGGTTTGGTAGTGATTGCCCTGGGGATCTGTGAGTTGTAGTTCACCCTTGTCCAGAGAGCACTGAACCCAACTGACAGTGATCTGGACCAAACTTGGCACACAGACCAAACAAGGAGGGTTTGAGGCCATAAAAAAGGCTCAAAGATCCCTTTCCCCCATTCCCTGCTCCACATGGAGTCAAAGCATTTCACAGACCCCTGCGACCCCCATGAATGACAGGCCTGGACCAAACTTAACAGACAGACCCACCATGGGCAACTGTGCATACTGGCAGGGTTTGAGAGTGATTTATTTATTTACTGTATTTTTATACCGCCCTTCTCACCCCTGGGTGATTGCCCTGAGAATCTGAGAGTTGTAGTTCACCCTTGTCCAGAGAACACTGAACCAAGCCCACGACAGATGGGAAAGATTTATTTATTTCGCGTATTTCTAGAAAAGAAAAGAGAGGCCAAGAGGGGGGGGGGGGGGGGGGGGGGGGGGTGGGAAAAGAGAGGCCAAGAGACCCCCTTTTCCCCATCACCTGCTCCACATGGAATCAAAGCATTTCAAAGATCCCTGCGACCCTCACGAATGACAGGCCTGGACCAAACTTGGCACACAGACCCACCATGGGCAACTGTGCATACTGGCAGGGGTTTGGGGATTATTTATTTATTTACTGTATATTTATATTCCTCCTTTCTCACCCCTCAGTGATTGCCCTGGGAATCTGGGAGTTGCAGTTTACCCTTATCCAGAGAACACTGAACCCAGCCAATGAACGATCTGAACCAAACTTGGCACACAGAACCAACATGGCCAACTTTGTATACTGGCTGGGTTAGGGGGTGCTTGTCCTGGGAATCTAGGAGTTGTAGTTCACCCTTAGCCAGAGAACACTGAAGCCATCTGATGACAGATCTGAACCAAACTTGGCACACAGAATCAACAGAGCCAACTGTGAATACAGGCTGGGTTTGGGGGTAATTGCCCTGGGAATCAGGGAGTTGTAGTTCACCCTTATACAAAGAACACAGAACCCAGCCAACGAGGGATCTGGACCAAACTTGGCATACAGAACCAACATGGCCAACTGTGAATACTGTGGGTTGGGGGTGATTGCCCTGGAAATCTGGGAGTTGTAGTTCACCCTTATCTAGAGAGCACTGAACCCAGCTGATATCAGATCTAGACAAAACTTGGCACACAGACCCAACATGGCCAACTTTGAATAATGGCAGGTTTGGGCCAGAAAAGAGAGGCTCAGAGGCTCCTTTCCCCACCACCTGCTCCACAAGCAGTCAAAGCACAGCCTTCCTCTGAGCCAGTAGGTCCACTAGCTACTAGTACTGAAGATGGAGACCCAGGTGGTCCCAGTGTGGGCTGGTGGACATGGACACCCCACTTGATGGGATGCTCCAAGGGCTGGCAATTGGTTGGAAATGCATGTATTCATTGGGGATAATAGCAGAGGCCCTGCTTCTCCACATGGTAACATCTGAAGAAGAGAAGGCTGAGACACAATGAGGGCCAGGTATAAATATGTGAGGGGAAGTCATAGGGAGGAGGGAGCAAGCTTATTTTCTGCTGCCCTGGAGACTAGGACGCAGAAGAATGGCTTCGAACTAAAAGAAAGGAGATTCCATTTGAACATTAGGAAGAACTTTCTGACTGTGAGAACTATTCAGAGGTGGAACTCTCTGCCCTGGAGTGTAGTGGAGGCTCCTTCTTTGGAAACTTTTAAACAGAGGTTGGATGGCCATCTGTCGGGGGTGCTTTGAATGAGATTTTCCTGCTTCTTGGCAGGGGGTTGGGCTGGATGGCCCACGAGGTCTCTCCCAACTCTATGATTCTATGATATGGTGAGTGAATCTTGCAGGGAGGGCTATAGATGCTGATACTTTATGAAACATGTCTCCCCAGTAAGATGTCTAGCTGTTGCCTGGATGCAAGAATGCTGCCTAGAGGTAGGATCTCTCCTCAGCATGAACCAAGGATTGAAAAGCAAAAGTGTCAAATCCAGGGAAGCTGGAGGTGCATCTCACTACTTTGTCTGCAGCATTCGGAAAATACACTCATAAAAATGGAGCTAGGTTTAGTTACAGTGACTGCTTTTCATGCAGTGGCGAAAGCAGAGAGGGAGGGAGAACAAGGTTTCTGAAATATGGTCCTTGGTTGATGTGTTAGCATATTTTCCAGGCTGGTACTTCAGCTCTTGCAGACATGGTTGATTCAAGTGCTCACACGATGTACAGAATGTACCAGCCGTGCTGCTGGTGTTAGCGATGCTACCGCTGGCCTCTCTCTCTGGATCACCCAGCTTCCCACTCTCTCCTCTCTCTGCCTGCAGGTCTCTCATTCGCTCGGGGTTCACGGTGATCCTAGAGGGCAGCTTTCAACAAGTGCCATCTCTTCAGCTGCTGTAAGAATCCTGATACTTTAGTTGTGAGTGGGGTGTGTGTATCATCCATCATCTGCTGTGTGTAGGTGGTACCTGGGAATATGTCTGCTTACCAATCCATCTCCCAAACAGTGTGTCTGTTTATGTGACCTATAAATATGAATCCCTTTACACTGGCAGAAGTGGATTTGTTTTGCTGTATCTTACTGGAGAAATACTAATAATAATAATAATAATAATAATAATAATAATATCCAATACAACAGCTAGCAGAGTGATCTTGTCTGCTGTGGACTTCATCTTGTTGTGTTTCAGATAATAATAATAATAATAATAATAATAATAATAATAATAATAATGGGTTACTGTGAGTTTTCCAGGATGTATGGCCATGTTCCAGAAGCATTCTCTCCTGACATTTCGCACACATCTATGGCAGGCATGTTCAGAGGTTGTGAGGTCTGTTTGAAACAAGGCAAGTGGGGTTTATATATCTATGGATGGGAGAAAGAACTCTTGTCTGTTTGAGGCATGTGTGAATGCTGCAATTGACCACCTTGATTAGCATCGAATGTCTTTGCAGCTTCAGAGCTTGGCTGCTTCCTGCCTGGGGGAATCATTTGTTGGGAGGTGTGAGCTGGCCCTGATTGATTATTGCCTGGAATTCCCCTAGTTTCCAACATACCTCACAACCTCTGAGGATGCCTGCCATAGATGTGGGCAAAACATCAGGAGATAATACTTCTGGAACAAGACCATACAGCCTGGAAAACCCATAGCAACCCAGTGACTCTGACCATGAAAGCCTTCAACAACCACAACCACAACCACAACAACAACAATAACATAATAATAATAATAATAATAATAATAATAATAATGGCTTGCTGTGAGTTTTCCAGGCTGTATGGCCATGTTCCAGAAGCATTCTCTCCTGACATTTCGTCCACATCTATGGTAGCCATGCTCAGAGGTTGTGAGGTCTGTTGGAAACAAGGCAAGTGGGGTTTATATATCTGTGGAATGTCCAGGATGGGAGAAAGAACTCTTGTCTGTTTGAGGCAAGTGTGAATGTTACAATTGACCACCTTGATTAACATCAAATGGCCTTGCAACTTCAAAGCTTGGCTGCTTCCTGCCTGGGGGAATCCTTTGTTGGGAGGTGTGAGCTGGCCCTGATTGTTTATTGTCTGGAATTCCCTTAGTTTCCAACATACCTCACAACCTCTGAGGATGCCTGCCATGTTGTGTGTTTTCCAGGCTGTATGGCCATGTCCCAGAAGCATTCTCTCCTGAGGTTTTGTGTGCATCTATGGCAGGCATGCTCAGAGGTTGTGAGGTCTGTTGGAAACTAAGCAAGTTTGTTTATATATCTATGGATTGTATAAACCTGAATACACATATTCCACAGGTATATAAACTCAATTTTCCTAATTTCCAACAGACCTCACAACCTCTGAGGATGTCTGCCATGTTGTGGGCAAAATGTCAGGAGAGAATGCTTCTTGAACATGGCCATACAGCCCGGAAAACCACAGCAAGCCATTATTATTATTATTATTATTATTATTATTATTATTATTATTTTGTTGTTGTTGTTGTGGTTGTTGTTGTTGAAGGCTTTCATGGTCAGAGTCACTGACAATAATATACAACAACAATAATATACATTCACATTCTTGTGCAAATCAATGATTTGTCCTGCTGATTTACTAAAATTCAAAGTGTTCACCAGTTAAGACTGTCCATTGGGCTGAAGCAAAATTGCGTTCCTGAAATCAGTGTCCATGGCCCTGTGAGTGTGGATTTCACAAGTGAATGTACATTGTTTCTCTGACTCTTTCTAGTTAGTGTACTATATGGGTGCCTTTGCTTATGGAGCTCTCTCTCTATGTATATGCCCTAGTGAGTATAATGTTGGCAAGTGACTGTACATTTCCTTTGGCACTTCCTTGTGCCATAGCCTGTAGCTGGTGAAAGAGTGCCCCTTACAGCCCACAGGCATGGCCTAGTGAGCTGGATAATGGTAAGTGAGCCCTTTATGCCCTTTGCATGCTGAATTAGCCCCTGCCTGAATTAGGAGCATTTGGTTTGGTGGCCCGCTAAGCATAGAATGGTAGTGGGAATATTCTTATATAAATTGGTCCAGAGAAATATATCACCTATGCAAATGCACAGAGGTACCATTTGTTTTGATAGATTTCCCATATTCAAAGTCATAGACTTGAAGGTAAAATTTAAATAGACAAATGAGAGTTGAAGGAGAGGTCTGGGTTTAAACTTCAAGCACTCCACTGGGTCTATGATTGTCTGATTTCCTCTCTTCCTGGTGAACTTTTCCCCAGGCACAGGTACTCCAAGACATGAACACTATAGTAAAGCTTAGATTTCACTCAGTGTCAAGCTTTTACAACATCTGTTTTACTTTCTGGAAAATTAAACAAGTGATGTATCTCCCTTGGAAATATACGGTGGCCAATAAATAAATAATAATTATTATTATTTGAAACACAGTAAGAGGAGTCCACAGCAGACACTCGGCTGGCTGTTGTATTGGATCACACGTTGAACACTTCCCAAGTGTGTAGGACTGTGTGATGTACTGGTGAATAATGTGTGCAGATCCCAGTAAGGTGGTTTTTTGCAGCTGGCAGATGGTAATTTTGTCAGCGCCGATTGTGTTTAAGTGCAGGCCAAGGTCTTTAGGCACTGCACCCAGTGTGCCGATCACCACTGGGACCATCTTTACAGGCTTGTGCCAGAGTCTTTGCAGTTTGATCTTTAAATCCTCATATTGTGTCAGCTTTTCCAGTTGTTTCTCTTCAATCCTGCTGTCACCTGGGATTGCAACATTGACAATCCATACTTTGTTTTTTAACACAATTGTGAGGTCAGGAGTATTGTGCTCCAAAACTCTGGCTGACTGAATTTGGATTATTATTATTATTATTATTATTATTATTATATACTGACAATCACCTAGTTACAAACATCTGACTTACATACAACTCCTAGTTACAAATGGGGTTGGTGGAGACAACAGGAAAGGAAATCTTCCTCTAGGAAGGAAAATTCACTTCTATAACAGCTATCATAGGGGAAAGGTGTCTCCACTGAAGCTTTAACACCAAACCTTGTTTCCATGACAACCCAAAATTTCCAAAATCCAATTGTCACTGAGACAGAAAGTGACAATTCCGAAAAAGCAGCAAAACAATAATTACAACGCGTGGTAACCTTTCTCTCTGCTATCCAAAACTTTAAAAATATTTTTTTGGCTGGAGTTATACTTTTACTATGTGTCTGTTTCAGCTTACATGCAAATTCAACTTAAGAACAAACTTGCAGAAACCACCCTGTTCATAACACAGGGACTGCCTGTACTGGTGAAAGTTGAAGTCCAGGCATACATCACTACAGTCCCCATATAGACATATTCCCAAAGGGAGTCCAGCGTTGCCTCCACCAGGGTGCCCAAAGACAGAAGTTAAGTTTCTGGTGACTGCCAGATCACTTGAAAGTCCTGTTAAAAGTCCTAGAGCTGTAGCGCTGTAGCTCTCACTTTGGGGTGTTAGTCTCCCTGTTCCTGCCTTCTCCTGAAAACATGGCTGTCTTTCCTTTGTATTTCCCACTTTCTGACCTGCCTGCTTCTCTCTCCCGCACCCTTCCCCTAGCTTGATCACATACAACTCCCTGGAACTGATTGGGGACGACGCCTTTGCAGGACTCGTACACCTGGAGTATCTGTGAGTGTGCAAAGATGGTGGGCCATGGGAGGGTTGGGCTGCATGCAAAATGGGAATGGGGTGCTATATGATGTGGCATAAAGGGGCGTGAGCCTCATGCAGGTGGTGGTTTGGGGGGGGAGGGTGATAGAACCGTGATTAATTCATGAGGCAGTGTGGGAATGGGAGTTGAGTGATTTCAAGAAGCGAAGCCATATTAAAAACAGGGTGACGAGAAGTTGCTGCTAACTGTGAGAGAAATAAAATTGAATATTGTGAAATCCACCCACTGCATGGCTATCAGCCCCTTTCCAGTAGACTCAAATCATGGAAAAGTTTCATGAGAACCACCACTCCTCTTAATGTTCCCCCAGCAACAGCAAGAGTATCCCTCTGAGCAGCTAAACCAGGAAATCCCAACTGGATGGCCCTCACAAGGGTCAAACCAAAAATGGGCAACCTGGAAGTCCCTGAACAGACTCAGAAGTGGAGTGGGCAGTCTGGCAAAATGGCACTACCTAGAAAAGTCCTCCACTTGTGTGGCTGTGGAGCAGAACAAACAACTCTGCATTAGGCCTGGGTAACAACGGAAAAATTTGTTTCTAAAATCGATTTGTATTTGGGGGTTTTTTTTGTTTCGATATTTAAAATAATTACAAAATTTTCCCTTAAAAAAGTTCGGTATTTACGAAATTTCGTAAATGTGAAAAAAATTACAAAACATTAACGAATCGATTTTCGAAACAATAACGAATCGATTCGTTAATGGCGGACGCGACCGCAAAATACGCTAAAAAACCTCCAAAAACTTCTGAAGCTTCCCTCTCCCTCTGTTGTTGACTGTTGGTGTGATATTATAATTTTTTTTCACTAATTAAACAAAAAACTTGCCCCAGACATGTGGAAATAATAACGAAACGACCTCAGAACAATAACGAAACGAATACAATAACGAAATACGAAGCATTTACAAAACGTGTTTAAAAATTCATTTTTTAAAAAAATTGCTCCAGAATGGTTCGTTATCGTTTTGTAATTGAAAAAAATAACGAATTATTAACAAATTACGAATTAACGAAACGAAACCACCCAGCCCTACTCTGCATCTGTATGCCTCTCCACAATGTCCTGCCTCATGCACAGAGGAAGAATTGCTTCAAGCTACAGACAATGTGGTCACTGTTGCCCATTTTTGGTCTCAAATTATTTAGTCACTTGTGCTCCCTCAATTTTATCAGTTTTAGACTTATTTAAGCAATGCTTTTGATACTAAATAAATAAATAGCAGGGTAAAAAGGTAAACAATAAAAATTAGCTGATTAAACACCTGCCTTTAATTGTTAAAGTAATCTAAATTTATTTTGAAATAGCTTTCCATACAGATGAATGTGATCAAAAGCACAGTATTGGTGTTTAGAAAAGTTATGATTCTGGATGATTGCTCTTGGGATGCCTCAGGCAGCATGACCATTGGGTGGGTGATCCCCAAGCAGATCATGTTACTCAGAGTGATGGTCCCTGGATATTTGATGGTCCTGGAGCCATGGGCTGCCAGTCCCTGCCAGGTTTATAGGGCAAACTTTCTAACTTGGGGACCACATTTTAGCAGTCCCTGTAATGGATGGATGGAAGGGAGAGAGGGAAGGAGGAAGGAAAGAAGGAAATGGAAGGGAAGGGAAGGATGGATGAAGAAAGAAGGAAAGAGGGAAAGAGGGAGGGAAGAGGGAAGGAAGGAAGGGAAGAAGAAAGGAAAAAGAGAAGGAAAGATGTAAGGAAGGAAAAGAAGGAAGAAAGGGGAGGATAAAGGAAAGAGAGAAGGAAAGAAAGACAAAGGAGAAGGAAAGAAGGAGAAAGAGGAAGAGAGGGAYGAAAGAGGGAAGGAAGGGTGAAAGGGAAAGATGGATGCATGGAAGGAAGGAAGGAAAGAAGGAAGGAAGGAAAGGAGGGAGGGAGGGAAGGAAAGAGAGAAGGAAGCACAAAAGGGTGGAAGGGAATGGAGGGAGGGAGAAAGAGGGAGGGGAGGGAGGAAAGAGAGAAGTAAAGAAAGACAAAAGGGAAAGAAGGAAGGAGAAAGAGGGAGAGAGGGAGGAAAGAGGGAAGGAAAGAAAGACAAAAGGGTGGAAGGCAAGGAAGGAGGAAGAAAGAGGGAGGAAAGGAGGAAGGAAAGRGAGGAAGGAAGGAAGGAAGGAAGGAAGGAAGTACAAAACAGTGGAAGGGAAGGAGGAAGAGAGAGAGAGAAGGAGGAAGAAAAGAGAGAAGGAAGAATAGGATGGTGAGAGAGAGGAGGGCCTTAGAAAAGAGTCCAAGGGGGCACATCTGACCCCCAGGTCTGGGTTTGGCCCTACCTGCTGTAAATGATATTCTAGGGACCTTGTCAGACAGGCCGCCAAAATTGTTGTGGATCGCTGCATCCTGGTGGTGGTCGTGCAGGGAGTGTGGGGACCTTTCTCTCCATGCCCCGTTCCGTGGTGGCTTTCCCTCTTCCTCATTCATTACCTTTTCTTCAGCGGCTCAACTCATCTTTACATATGGAAAGTTGGGGAGCCTACCATTATCCATCGCCACCATATTTTGGTGGCAGCAGCACTTCAGCCACAGAGTCTCCTGGGAAGTAGTTATCAGAGGTGTGATGGAGCCATAGCTGAACTTTAAAAATCCAGCTGCCACTGCCAAAAAGAAGTACATGTGAAGAGAGTAGCACGTGGCTGTAGATTGTTTCCTGGGTCCAGCACAAAAGAAGAGATCCCTAATGGGTTGAGAGGCAATGAAACCTTGTGCCAAGTCAATAAATGAATAAATAAATAATACAGTTTTTAAGTATAATTACCCTATGATCCTGCAGGGTCTACTGCCCTATGTACCACTAATTGGACACAGAATTAATTTAGGTGAGGGTTTTGTCAACATATTCAGCAACTAAAGGACTTATTGATTTTCTTGGGTGTTTATCCTATATGTACAACAGACTGTTTGCTTCTACCTGGGACCCAGTGATATGACACAGTGATTGCTGGGATGGAATGTACAAAATGTTGAGAACCATTGTGATAAAATAGCAAAGTGGCTGAATCGTAACAGTTTCTCTCCATGGAAACCCGGGAACTGTGTCTATGTGATGGGTGCTGGGAAATCTATTAAAAGTTCTTCAGCCTACAGTATAATTCTCAGGACTGACTAGGTGATTCTATTCAGGATTGTCTAGTTCAATGCCGTTAAACTGCATTATGAAGATGGATTATATGGCAGTGTAGAGGCCTTACAATAAGATAACAATTGTCATTGTAAGCCTACATTTATCCTAATTTGTGATTTTTAAAAAATCATGTAAGAAGCAACTTGAGAAACTGCAAGTTGCTTCTGGTGTGAGAGAATTGGCCGCCTGAAAGGGCGTTGACCAGGGAACACCCGGATGTGTTACCATCCTGTGGGAGGCTTCTCTCATGTGCCCACATGGGAAGCTAGAGGTGACAGATAGAAGCTCACCCCGTCTTGCGGATTTGAACAACCAACCTTCAGGTCAGCAGTTAAGCCGGCACAAGGGTTTAACCATTGCGCCACTGCGACTTCCTAATTTGTGATGGACACAATACTTTTCCTTTTCTTTTTGAATGGGATATATATCCCACCTTTCTTTCTAAAAGGGAATTTAAGGTGATGTACAATTAAATAGAACCAATTTAGTTAAAAATAAACTACAGTAAAGCATGAACAACCAAGCATTTAATTTTTCACGTTAGGCACGACAGCAAGCTATATTGTCATGCGTTGCAATTTTAGGCTTCTAAATCCCTCTCGCATCACCTGAAGCCATAAAGCACATCATTAAAACTTTGGAAATGACTCCCTCCACCGCTCTCTTTCCTTGTTAATGACTTAACAAGATTGTTTCTTGACTTGCAGATTCATTGAGCAAAATAGGCTTGAAACGATCTCCAAGAATGCCTTTCGTGGCCTGAAGAATCTTCTACATCTGTGAGTGTTTCTTGGACATGTTCCCAATCTCCACTTAAGGTCAAACTTATGGTAGCCACTTAACTAATGTCCAGAATAGAGCAAATGCGTCACTCAAAAAGAGGGAAAGAGAGGGCATAGATTAGCATTTTACTACTTCATCACATTTACTAAATTCCATGGAGTGCTACACTTAAAATGTGGTAAGCCACTGTGTTCATCACATTAGGTTGGGTTCAAGCATAGGGTAGAGAATTTTTTGCGTATTTTAAGCGTGGGGCCAGCATTCTTTTCAAACCCTAACCCTTTTCAAACATTTCAGGAGGTGGTGGGGAAGTAAATTATTTGGAAATGATCCAGATGTTTGGCCAATTCTGTAAAGTGATGGCATTTATTGCTCTCAGATTAAAAACGAAACGTTTCCCCAATTTGTGGAAGGAGAAATTATGGGAGGAGCCAAAAATACCCTTGTTAGGGAAAGTTCCACCATTACCTTTTGCTCCATACTATGCAGTCCTGGGAGTTATAGTTTCCCAAGGTCCACACCTGTTAGGGATTCCTCATCTTCGGAAGAGGAAGGGGAGCAGGGAAGTGCTCAGGAATTGGAGGGAGAAGAAGAATCAGACAATGAGGTTTTTAAAAGAGACAGAGCACAAACGGCGTTCAGCCAGAATAGCTGCTAAAAATGCTGAGCTAATTGGGAGACACCCTAGCACCTCCTGCATGGGGAATTCAGGGCTATAAATCAGAAGCAGGAGCAGTCAGCTTTCACTGGTACCAACGACCCTGATACTGATGTTTTTACTCCAATGGAACCTGCTTTGTGTCTGCTGCTAAAGACTTAGTTCATTGCCCATTGTCTGATGGAAGACTGCTGTTTCTTTTGGGATTTTTGTAAGAGACTTTAATTTGTGTCTGGATTAAGACTTCTTGCTTTCTTTTGCACTTTTCAATTGCATTTGCTTATCCTTTGTGTCTGCTGAAGTAAAGCATTTTTCTTTTACTTTCAACATTGTATTAAGGCTGTTTTTGAAGGGCAACTCAGGACAACTTCTCTGGATGCATCTGCACTGGAGAATAAAGGCAACCGGGGCCCATTTTAAATGCTAGTATTATTTTTGTTATTGTTGTTGTTATGCCATGTCTCCATGCTGTGCAGTCCTGGGATTCATCATTTTCCAAGGTCCATACCCTTCTCTGGGTGCATTTACAGTATGGAACGAATGCCCTTGCACTCCACTTTAAATGCCATAGCTCAGTGTGATTGAGTCCTCCTGGGATTTATAGTTTCCCAAGATCCACACCCTTCTCTGGCTGCATCTACACTGTGTAATGAATGCAGTTGACCTTACTTCAAATGCCATGAGATGATCTTTGGAACTGCAGTTCCCCAAGGTCCATGAACCTAATCTGGGTGCATCTACACTGTGAAATGATTGCAGCTGGAGCTTACTTTAAAAGCAGGGAAAGTGGGAGAGGAAAGGGGAAAGGGGGGAAAGGTATGAGGAGAAGGAAGGAAAAAAATAGAAAGAAGGGAAGAGAAAGGAAGGAAAGAAAAAAGCAATAAAGGAAGGGAAGGAAGGAAGAAAAAGAAGGGAAGACTATATGAGGGAAAGCAAGTGAAGAAGGAAGGAAGGAAGGAAAGAAAAGAGAGTGGGAGAAAGTGTGTGAGGGAAATGGAAGGAGGAAAGAAAGAGCCACAAAGAGAGTGTGCCCATCATTGACACTTTTTGGCTTCATGATAATTGGATTTTGAAAAATGTGGCTTCTTGTGGAAAAAAGGATTGGTGATAAAGCTTTAGTGGAGACACCTTTCCGGAACCATGATAACTCTTTCAGGACTGAATTTCCCTTCTGAGGGGTAGATTTCTCTCATTTCTTTTTTCTCACTCTGTTCTTCACTGTAAATTGTTTGTAAGTCAGATGTTTCTAACTTGGAGACTGCCTGTATAATTAGTAAAAACACAGACAGCTTTCAAGACAGTGCTCTCCTCCTGAGATTTCACCTCCTTGCCCCAACATCTGGCAACCCTAATTGCAGTATCTTTCCCCAGAGCCTCCAACTGAGCATGTCTATGGTGCCTTTCTTCTAAGGTTGTTTTTCTCCCCTTACCCACAGGAATTTGGCCAACAATAACCTGCAGACGTTGCCAAGACACTTGTTCCGGGGCTTGGATTCTTTGACTTCAGTGTGAGTTGAAGGGCAAGGGGCAGGGCAACAAATGGTGAGGAATGGCTATGAGTAGGAAGGATTAACAGTTTGCTTCCTGCCTGTTTCCCGTTGTTCTTCCAATTTACTGCTAAGACAAGTTGAGAAAGCACATTGATTACAGATATCTTGTATTCCAGATCCCATCCTGGAGATGGTGGAGTTATGATTCCGCCCACTTGGATTGTACTCAGTTAAGGAAAACCAGTTACTTAACTAACGGGAGGTACTGCAGCTGTTATGACAGTTCAGAGCACCACAAAGCTTGGAAAATCTTTTTCTCTGAATTGCAATACAGTAAACCCTCGCTTATCCAACGTTCTTATTCAACACCCCCCTTTTCCTCCAGCATTTCCCCTTCAATTAAAGGAATGCTTTCCAAAGTGAAAAAGGCAAGACAAGGAGGAGGAGTAAGGAGGAAAGGGGGGAAAGAGGCAGGAGCAGAAGTGGAAGCATCCTCCCTCCTTCCCTCTGTGATTTCCATGCTCCTCTTCCGCATCTTGGGGTCCTCGTGGACAACAAGTTAAACATGAGCCAACAATGTGATGCGATGACAAAAAAGCCAATGAGATTTTGGCCTGCATCAATAGGAATATAGTGTCTAGATCTAGGGAAGTAATGCTACCCCTCTATTCTGCCTTGGTTAGACCACACCTGGAATATTGTGTCCAATTCTGGGCACCACAATTGAAGAGAGATATTGACAAGCTGGAATGTGTCCAGAGGAGGGCAACTAAAATGTTTGTCCAACATTCTGCCAGCCTGTTTATGTTGGATAAATGAGACTCTACTGTATTCCTAGGTTCCTGGAAAGTGCCTCAGAAACTAATGCATTTTCATTGTGTGTTCCCTGCTAGGGAATTTTGGGGACTGTAGTAAAAAAGAAAACCCCACTTTTCCAATTGTTGTCAAAGTGCCAACTGATATTCAGAATCCTAGCCTAATTCTGAAAGGATTGAAAGGTGGAGAGTAATGAGTCCAATATCAGTGGACAGCAGCCAAGGAATAGAGAAATACAGTTGAAGAAGAACAGTGAGGTCAACAACCCAAGCACCTCTTTGCACAACTCTTAGAATCTATAGCACAACTAATTGTACCTTTAGTGTGAATATATTAAATTATGCATGTTAAAATGTTGATATTAAATTATCAAAAGTTAGTTCATTAAATCTAAAAAACTGAAAAAGAATAAAACGAATGTGTTATAGTGTTATATTGATAATTAATAAAGCAGTAATCAATAAACTGTCAAAAGTTGCTAAAAATGGCCAACCCCCACAGAAATGGCAGTCCAGATTCAGTGCACAGAAGTACTGCTGGAGTTCCAGCTGGAAGAGAAAAAAGTTTTTGTAGGAACTTGTTCTATAATATTTCCAAGGTTTTACAAATGTTGGTGTCTCAGCCCCAGATTTCTGCACCGAAAAGCATTTGTGACAGCACTTGGTTACTGAAAATTTTTAGAGCGGGTTCATCAGGGAACCTATTGTTTTTTTGGCTGTCAGCTTCACTGCTTCCCTGTGATGTTTCTAGGAAAGGGATTCACTAAATACAGTAGTGTCTCGCTTATCCGACCTTCGCTTATCTGACATTCCATCTTATCTGACTCTCCTATCCAATGCCTCCTTTTCCTCCAGTATTTCGCCTTTAATTAAAGGAGTGCTCCATAACTCTCTCTCCATTCCTAATAAGTGAAAAAAGGCAAGACAAGGAGGAGTAGGCGGGAAAAGAGGGAAAAGAGGCAGGACTAGAAGCAGAAGTGTCCTCCCTTCTTCCCTCTGTGATTTCCATGCTCCTCTTCTGCATCCGGGAACTTCCTGCTGGGCCGCTCTAGCCCCAAAACATTGTCTTGCCTTAACCCTTTGAGTCCCTGTTGTTAGTATTCTCGGTGTCTAGCGCCACATTGGATGGGTACCAGTAGGAGATTCCGTATTATCCGACATGTTCATTTATTCGATGTTCTGCTGGCCCGTTTATGTTGGATAAGCGAGACTCTACTGTAAGTGGGTTTGTTCTATGGCATGTTGGTTTTAAGTCCATTTGTACCTGGGACAGTGTCTTCCAAAAACCATCACTTTGGTTTTGAAGTAGTTTATTGGTAGATATTCTTCTTGGCAATATTTACTGAAAACCTTCAGAAGATTTTTAAGACCCAGCCAAAAAAGAGATAGAAGCACTAGATCATCTGCATACATAAGGATGGAAATCTTTCTTTTGCTGTTTGCTGGTGAAGGAGAGTCCATTTTGGCTAAACGTGGGACTAGATCATTCACATAGATATTAAATAGAGTAGGAGCCAATAAACACCCCTGTTGTACAGGAGTGACAAATTAGTACAATGTGAAATGTGAATCATTATTTAAAATAATAATAGTATATGTAGAATAGTGCATTTTAGATTTTTGATGGCTTTTTTTGTTGATACATTTCAAAATGGTTGTTGGTGAGAGTGGTTTCTTTCCTGGCAGGGACTTGAGGGGAAATGCTTTCCATTGTGACTGCAAGTTGAAATGGCTGGTGGAGTGGTTGAGCCAAACCAATGCCTTGGTGGAACCCATCGAGTGCCGATCCCCACCTGAGCTGAACCGCACCAGCCTTAGTGAACTCCGTCTGGGGGAATTTGACTGCATCACTACGGGTATGACATCTCTTTGTCCTGTATGCTTCTATCACTGAAATATTCCCTTTTCTCCATGCTTCATCTACTGAAGGTTAGGACTCCCTGGTTCTCCTCCTTTTCTCCCCTTGGAGATAGCTTTCTGTACTTTAGTACTTTCTGTACTTTAGTGGTTTAGTAAGTAAAACACACAGAACCGCAATACATATAGCATGGAGCATCTGATACAGACTATGAGAGGAAAGGGCTATTGGACAAAATTGTTGTTGTTGTTGCCGCCATGTTACTCTTGGTTTCATAAAATGTATCCATGAAAGCTTGAAAAAATTAAAAAAACATGTAAATATGTTTTTAAGCAAACAAATAAATAAGTAGGTGCAAGAAGAATAACAACTCCCTACAGAGAGAAAATAAAATTGAAATGAAGCTTTAAAAAAAAAAGCATGTAAAGTTTTGGAAAATGGCATTCATAACCTTTTGTAAAACACCATTTGGAGATCATAACCTTTTAGCCTAACCTTTCAGAAAAGAGCCAAAAACTCTTTAGAGCAGAACCTTCTCTTGTGATATACAAACAAATATAATTATGTGTTGTCGAAGGCTTTCATGGCCAGAATCACTGGGTTGTTGTAGGTTTTTTCGGGCTATATTACCATGTTCTAGAGCAGGGGTCCTCAAACTAAGGCCCAGGAGCCAAATATGGCCCTCCAAGGTCATTTACCCGGCCCTTGCTCAAGGTCAACCTAAGTCTGAAACGATTTGAAAGCACACAACAACAACAATCCTATCTCATCAGCCAAAAGCAGACCCACACTTCCCATGGAAATACTAATAAGTATATATTTGTTAAAATTGTTCTTTATTTTAATGATTGTATTGTTTTTAAGTGGGTTTTTTTGCACTTCAAATAAGATATGTGCAGTGGGCATAGGAAATCATTCATGATTTTTTCAAATTATAATCCAGCCCTCCAACAGTTTGAGGGACTGTGACTGGCCCTCTGTTTAAAAAGTTTGAGGACCCCTGTTCTAGAGGCATTCTCTCCTGACATTTCGCCTGCATCTATGGCAAGCATCCTCAGAGGTAGTGACTACTTCACTACCTCTTGAGGATGCTTGCCATAGATGCAGGTGAAATGTCAGGAGAGAATGTTTCTAGAACATGGCCATATAGCCTGAAAAAACCTACAACAACCCAAATATAATTATGCAAGACAATGATTTCAGTTGTTAGTCTGACTAACCTGTTATCTCTGCTCTGTTAGGAAAATAGAGAATTGCCAGTGTATAAAAAAACCAGCAGTGCTTCTGAAGAGTTTTTCAGTGCCCAAAAATATATACTCTCCCATAAAACAACTTGTTTTATATCATGCACCCAAGAGACAAAAATGAAGTAGACTTCGATTTTTTAAAAATGACATATTTGGTTTACAGTACTCACAACCTTCATGTGTTCAGCATACATAGGTATAAAACTTATCAGTCCAGTTTCAGATATGTTTGAGATATGTTGGACACAGCATATTATTTGAGAACACGGTCGACTCTAACAACCACCATGTCAGACTACACAAAGAACACCCCCCCACACATACACACACACAAGAATTTCAATCAGCAAGAAAAATGGCCAGAATTTGTAAAAGAGGAGAGATCTATCAGTAGATACCAGTCATGATTGGAGTTTGCAAGTAATCAAGCTGCAACCAAGTCAAATTGTAACATAATGAGAGTTAATTAACACCCTTTTCCATGTAACTACAATTGTGTTTTAGTAATTTCCTAGGAAGTGCTTTGGACTGTGTTTTCTGTGCTCTAGGCTCCAAAGAAAACCTTTTAAAGATATGGGCTTGTGTTGTGAGTCAGCAGGGCTCTCCAGAAACAAAAAGCACAGCAGTAAGCAGTATGATAAATAACTATGTACAAACTGTAAAACACATCTGAAATAACAACTCTTGCAAACATACCCAGTTGGATGAACTGTTTATAGTAACCAATGTAGTTTGCCATGACAAACACTATGGCAGGGTGAGGTACCGCTTTTTGTTCTAGCACTAACTCCTACCTTCTTTCCTTAGACCTTGTTCTCTTTGATACCCTGCCTGAACAATCGCTCTCTGTAGAAACCTTCACCTACAATGGAGAACAGAACTTGGTGGTTGCCCAGCCTTTTACTGGACGCTGCAGCTTCTTAGAGTGGGACCACGTAGCAGGGAAATTCCGCAACTATGCCTACATCAATGGTGAGACACTCACACTCTTCCCCTTCCATCCTCACATCCTCGAGGATACAGTATGTAACATGGAGCAGTGTGTCCATCTTATCTTTTTTTTTTTCAGGTTGAAATATATCTTACTCCAACTCTGTTGTATCCTGCCTCCCACAACAGTTTTTCATCTCTTCATCGTTTTGTCTAGATCCCATGAAACTATTCATAGAATTATAGAGTTGGGACAGTCCACAGGGCTATCTGGTTCAACCCATGGTTACTGTTCTTATTTTTATTTATTTGTCAGAAGCAAACCGAGGGAACAATTGTACTGTATTTAAAAACACAAACAAAGTTTAAAAACTTGGCATTATACTAAATGTCCTTTGACTAGTAGTTGGCCACTTGGAGTGCCTCTGGTGTTGTGGTGAGAAGGTCCTCCATTGTGCATGGGGCAGGGCTTGGATTTCATTGTAGTAGGTGGTCTGTGGTTTATTCTTCTCCACACTCGCATGTCGTGGACTCCACTTTGTGGCCCCATTTCTTATGGTTGGCTCTGCATCTCATGGTGCTGTGACTTCTACCAAGTCACCCAGACTTCTGGGTGACTTGGTGACTTCTACAAGTCTGGGCTTGGTGACTTCTACAAGTATGGGCTAACTACAAGTATGGGCTAACTACAAGTATGGGCTAACTACAAGCATGGTGACTTCTTCCAAGTCACTCAGACTTCTGTGTGCCCAGGAGGGAGTCTTTCATTTGATATTCTGCTGCCTCAAGGGAGCATGCTTACTCTATCAATATTTAACATTTACACAAATGATCAGCCTCTGCCAGAAGAGACAGAGAGTTTCATCTATGCTGATGATCATGCCATCACCACCAAAGCAGGGAGCGTTGAAATGGTTGAACAGAAGCTCTCTGAGGCTTTAAGTTCTCTTACTGTCTATTACAGGGAAAACAAGCTGATTCCTAATCCATCTAAAACACAGACATATGCTGCTGCTGCTGTTGTTGTTGTTGTTGTTGTTATGCTACATTTATACCTGCTCATCTCACTCCAATGGGGGACTGAGGGTGGCTTACAGACCATGGCACACAATGCCACATTACACATATAATAATAAACATGACATATCGATTTAAACAATTAGCATATCAATTTAAACATACAGTAATAAACATGACATATCAATTGAACAATTCAAATATAAATACAATAAAAAAAGCTTAAAAGTAAACAGACAAGCATCTTGACCTCTGAGGATTACCTGGGAAGGAATCCCACTGGAGCATTGCAGCAAACCCAAATACCTGGGAGTTACCCTGGACTGTGCTCTGACTTACAAGAAGCACTGCTAACTATCAAGCAAAAAGTGTGTGCTATAAATAATATTATATAAAATTGACTGGCACAACATGGGGGTTACAACCAGACACAGTGAAGACATCTACTTGTATGCTTTGCTACTCTGCTGCAGATACGCATGCCCAATGTGGAACACTGTTCTGTTAACTATGGGAAATTAGGGAAGAAAGCGCAGGAGGAGTCTTGGGTACCTTTAAGATTTATTTCAGTATGATCTTACATGGATTTAAATCCTCCTTGCTTAGATGCCCTTGATATCCTAACATCAGATGTCCGTGAAAGATGCAGTTGCTATTCATTCTCTTCTCACCTTTTGACACTTCCTAGGTTCATCCACAGTGGTCTGCAAGCCCCTGGTGATCGAGGGTGAGCTCTTTGTGATTGTGGCCCAGCTGTTCAAAGGCTCACACATCTACAAACGGCACGAAGCAACAGGCCAGTTCCTACACATGCAGGTGATAGAGAGCTCCCGCATGCGTAAACCCAATGACATTGAGGTCTTCCGTGTAGAAGGGGACTGGTATTTCATCATGGCTGACAGCTCCAAGGCTGGCTCAACCACTCTATACCGCTGGAATGGTCATGGCTTCTATTCTCACCAATCGCTGCACCCCTGGTACCGCGACACGGATGCCGAATTTCTGGAGATTGCAGGCAAGCCCCATCTCATCCTGGCCAGCAGCTCCCAGCGTCCTGTCATCTACCAGTGGAATAAGAAGGAGTTTGTGCGCCGCACGGATATCCCTGACATGGATGATGTCTATGCGGTCAAGCATTTCAAAGTCAAGGAGGATGTTTACATTTGCCTGACTCGCTTCCTCGGTGATTCCAAGGTGAGGTTACTAGGGATCACTGCCATGTCTTACTTGTCAGGAAAAGGAATTGTGCATGCATACTGAAAGATATATTAAGTGTTGCTACTTTTGCCACTATTCTCACCCCACTTACAGTTTACTTCACATCATGTTCCCTAACTACAAGTATGGGCTGATAGTTCAGAGGCAAAACAGGACCTAAGCAGGCAACTAAGTGTGGAATATATGTTCTATTTTGCACAGGTGCTTGGAAAAAAAAAAACCCAAACAGTTTTCTTCTCCCACCATTACATTATGAGATTTTTGTGGTTTTTTCTTATTTTTTCAATTTATTCTGCATTTTAAGATTTTTTAAATGAAAAAAAATACTTAAGAGTTTCTTGTATAAAGGAGTTTGGCCTTTTGCAAAAGAAAAAAATACACCTCTTGCACAAAATACAAGAGATTTTTTGGACACGTTTTCTGTTTAGTTTTGCTTTCATTGATGAGAAAAAGCAGTTATCTTTTTGCTGTTACTCAGAGACAAAATTTTGGGATCACTGACAATTTTTGATAGAGAGTCTCAGTGTTGAGGAACACATTGTTGTTGAGGATGAGAACATTTGGGAATATCCTTCAGATCCGTAGTACTGAGGGCCACTTCACTCAGCTATATTCAAGCTTCATTGTTAGAACTATAGTTTCCAGTTCTGGAGAAGGAATGTTATGTGCATTTGGGGCTTTCCTTCATCTGTTTTGTGTCCCAGCTTTCGGTGGGGCCCCTGATCCATTTTGTCTGAGCCTCCTGAAATTGGAAGGTCAGATATTCGTTTTTCGTTTTCAGGGCAGAAAGATCCATTTTCTTTCCACCCATTTTTTTTTTTGGGGGGGGGGGACTTCCCCATAGGCCCAAAGTGCCTGGGACAACAGGTGCAGGCTTTGGGCCTATGCAGCTGTGCTTGGTAGTACCTGCAGTCGAGCCCTGAGTAAGGAGTGCTCCTTACTCGGTGCTTGGCTTCAGGCCCTGCAAGGCCCAGATGTGTAGGTCCAAAGTCTGCGCCTGTAGACCCAAAGCACTGGGGTGCCTGAAATAGATCCAAAAAGCAGTCTTGGAGCTGGTACCCACTCCCACCTGCCTTTCATTTCAAGTCTATTTTTGTTCCAAGAGGGGTTTTCCCGTTTCGTGCCATCCGAATGGATGAAATGAAACAGAAACACAAATCAAATGGGTGGGACAAGTTTCAGGCCCATGACTTTATTTTGCATTCATCAGATCACATCTGGACTGTGGCATCTAGTAAGTAATGAATCCGTTTAGGCTGGATCCACAGTTCCATAGACTGCAGTTTGAATCTGACTCACACAAACACACTCTCACACACATTGCAGTTCAATAAAGTTAAACGGCATTTTATGGTTCTGCCCTGACCATATAATTCATATTCAGACTGCTTTCTATGACAATGTAGCTCCAGCCTTTAATTTAGTTGGATCTTTAAAGGAACTATCCAAGGTGCTGAACCCTAACTCAAAATAGATTCAGCACCTTGGATGGCTCCTTTAAATTCCACATAAAGCACAACATGAATTCAATGTCCAAATGATTTGAAAGTGAGGTGCTTCTATTGGAACAGTGTCTTATTCTGAGAAGAGGTGTTGTGAAGCTAGGAAAAATGGGGCTAAAGCTCTTGATTATGCCCTTTGCTACTGCCTGCACAACTGAGCTTAGCTGCACTTTTTCTCGGCAACAATAGAACTAGCCCTGTTATAATGCAAAGTATTTTGGTGTAGCCACATCCTGAATGAGCAATTGAAACCTCTTAGATTTAACAAAGAGATATTTACTGGGCAGGGAGATGGAGATGTGCTCAGCAACCACTCAACTGTTTTTGCATGATGGACTATTGGGTCTTCTGGATGGCAGTACTAGCTAGATCAGGCATGGGCAAACTTCAGCGCTCCAGATGTTTTGGACTTCAACACCCACAATTCCTAACAGCCTACCAGCTGTTAGGAATTGTGGAAGTTAAAGTCCACAACACCTGGAGGGCTGAAGTTTGCCCAGGCCTGAGCTAGATGGTACTGTATACATTCTTTTGTACGAAAAAGTGCATGCACAAATTTAATCCACAGGTATGTCTGCATATATGTCACCAACAAAATGCTTGTTCTTGTGTGTATTCTGTTAATCTCTTGGAAGAGTTGTGGAATATGTATGTATGTTACATTTATACCCTTGACTTTTATGTAAATGTAGTGACCATAGTTCTCCATCCCACTTTTTGGTTAATTGAGCTGAAAGAAATGGCATATCAGATAACCACAAGAGGTGTACCTGTGTGATCCCATCGTCATCACAAATGCTACCACAGGGATAAGCAAAAGATCAAAATATACTGAAAGATCTCTAGGCATTTTCAAAATCAGTGCGACTTTCCAATTATTTCTTTTTTTAAAAAAAATTAAAATCTAGGTTTGAATGCTAGAATCCCTAAGTTATAACAACTTGATTTACACGGCACATTATTTTAGTGGATGTGTCATGGGGTGCAATATGTAGTTGACTGTACCCTCTGAGGCACCGTTTTGAGTCTGGCTTCAGCTGGTGAAATTTATGGTACCAGTTTAGAAATACCTCCTAATCAGTTCCTGCAACCCCAAAATCTGTTTCCTAACCACATGCTTAGAAATGTTTCTTTTGTGAACTAGAACTCCCAGAACTTTGTGGGATCTTATCCAAAAAGTCACCATATATATTTTATTTATTTACTACATTTCTATACCTCCATTCTCAGCCCAAAGCCAACTCGGGGCAGTTATACTCGAGTATGTCAACCCAAATATAAGCCGAGGCACCTAATTTTACCACAAAAAAACTGAGAAAATGTACTGACTCAAGTATAAGCAGAGGGTAGAAAACGCAGCAGCCTACTGGTAAATTTTAAAGTAAAAATAGCTACCAATAAAATTCCATTAAGTGAGGCATCAGTAGGTTAAATGTTTTTGAATATTTACATAAAACTGTAATTTAAGATAAGACTGCTCAGCTCTGATGAAACCATTATTCTAACCTTCTTCAATGTAAAAGTGCTTATGTACGTATCCTTCCAATAATAATAGAGTAAAATAATAAATGTAATAATAATAAATAGTGAAATAATAAAGAAATAGAGAAAAATGGTAAATGTAATAATAAGAAGAAAATAGAATAATAAATGCAATAAAATAGAGTAAAATAATGTAAACGTAGAAATGGAGATGAGCACCACACCCCAGAGTCAGACATGACTGGACTTAATGTCAACATAATAATAATAACAATAATAYAGTAAAATAATAAATGTGATAATAATAATATTATATCTCCGAATGCATCTCCCCTTACGAACCATCGAGGACTMTAAGATCGTCTGGGGAGGCCTTGCTCTCAGTCCCGCCTTTGTCATTTGGCAAGTACATTTGGCAGGGACGAGGAACAGGGCCTTCTCAGCGGTYGCCCCTCGGCTATGGAACGCCCTCCRTAGGGAGATCAGATCGGCTTCTTTGCTCCTAACATTTCGGAAAAAACTCAAGACATGGCTTTTCAAGCAAGCATTTGCAAACATTAAGTAACGGACATAGGAAAACAGAACAACTATATGATGGGACTGGACAATGTTTTAATGAGGATTTATTGACTTATGTTTTATTGCTGTTGTTATGATTTTATTGATGTTAACATTTTMAAATTGTACTTGTATTTTTGTGGCATTGATTTTTGCCTTGTAAACCGCCTCGAGTCACCGGAAGGCTGAGAGGGGCGATATGCAAATACAGTAAATACATACATACATACATACGTACATACATACATAATAGAGTAAATAATAAAAAATAATAAATAAATAATAGAGTAAATAATAATAAATAACCTTGACTCAAGTATAAATCAAGGAGGGCTTTTTCAGCCTCAAAACGGGGCTGAAAATCTAGGCTTATACTTCAGTATATATGGTAAATTTTCCGAGCTCTCCTTTTCTTTGCCTTCTATTGCCTCGCACTGGCTCTTGCTTTGTGGTTTCTATCATAGAATGCTAAGACTTGATACAAGGTTTATGGAAGCCATCCTCCTTCCTGAACTCATGGCAATCTCTTCTACCATCAGGTGATGCATTGGGATGGTTCCATGTTCCGAGATGTCCAGCAGATGCCTTCCCGGGGATCTATGGTCTTCCAGCCACTGACCATTGGTGGCTACCGCTATGCGTTTCTAGGCAACGATTACTCTTTCAGCAAAGTATACCGCTATGACCCCATCACTGGGCTCTTCCAACACTTCCAAGAGCTGAACACCCAGGCCCCGCGCTCCTTTGCTCACCTCAGCGTGGACCAGCGAGACTTCCTTATCGCCTCCAGCTTCAAGGGCAAAACGCACATCTACCAGCATGTCATCATCGATCAGAGTGCCTGAGGCTGGTGATGGTGGGGTTGTGGGCATCAGCAGAGGAGGCAGCCACTGCGGGGAAGAGAGGAGGTGCAGGAACGGAAAGCAGCATCAGCCCCTGAAGGAAGTTCAGTGCCAAAGGGAACCACCAGGGCGCAGCACTGGAAGCCGATGCTGCTGCTGGTAGCACAACTTCTCCAGTGGCCCCAAATGGGAGTGCTGGGCAACAGTTAGCCAGTGGTGAAAATCAGGCAACTGAGAACCATCATCAATTGCTAGTGGGTGCAAAGAATGGCAGGAGGAATCCTCAACAGGATGCTTACATTATTGCTTTACCCACTAGTAGGTAATAAAGAGATCCAGCGATTTCTGGAGATGGTAGGACCAGAGGCCCGCATGCTTTCAATGGGGCTAAACGAAACCTCATCACCAATGAAGCACATAGGTTTGGAGAGGCAGAACCTTGCCAGTAATCACTCCGAATCGTGTCCCCAGCAAGTTACTTTTCCCCCAGTTAGAGTGGATACTCTTGCATTTCAGTTTCATTTCTCATCCTGACTTAGGATGCTTGTTTCTTTTGTATTTTTCACCCCCTCTCCCAACCTCTATTCCCTTTTAAAGGGGTTCAGTGGAAACCATTACCGATTGCTTATTTTCTCCGCTTGCTTGTTTTTACTATAAATTATTTTATTTTGAAAATGCACGATTCCTTTAAAAAAAGTATTCATGCAGTCCGGCACAAGATAGTTGTAACTAACAGTGCAATCCTACGCATGCCTGCTCAAAAAGCGAGGGTGTCTAGGACTGAAGCATAAATGTCGTTTAAGAAACAGCAAAGGGCTGTTCCAGGCTTTCACTGAGGCAAGCAGCATGATCCCTATGCATGCTCATATGGAAATCTCATGGCATTCAGTGGCACGTAGCCCCAGACAGAAAGAGGTTGCAATTACTGCCTGCTCAGTTGCGTCAAATGTGTTTTAACTATCATTTTCAATCTTACACTTTATTGTTTATTTTTTAAAGAAATTATAGATATGATTTCAGGCATTGTGCCATGTCAAGTTGTTAAAACACAACTAAAAGCACAAACTTAACTTTAAGCACACAAGGATCTCTCATAGATCTTTACAGGGTGGGGTGGGGTTGAGAAAGAAAAACAAGATGGCACAGGATAGGTTGAACGGATTGATAAGGTGGGTAGGTAGAAGAGAATGCAGATCTAGAACAGGTTCTGTCAAGGAGGAGTTGGACATGACAGTGAACAAATACAGTATTTATGCTTTACCTGTAAATAACCAGCATGTTGTTCAAATCCATCAGACCTTTCTCCAGTAACGGGCAGCACTGACTACAAGGAATACATATACTAAAGTATTTTATTCCCATGCTGGAATCATAAGGATGTGAGGCTGGGATCACACAGGTGAAGATGGAACACACCACACGAGGTATCTTCCAAAGGACAGACTAATATCCTCTTCTGTCTCCCATTCATGATGTGGGATCCCACATGTGAGCATTGTAAATAAAAAGAAATATATTGTTTTTGGGCTCAGGAGTGACATTAATTACTCCGCTACTGCGAGTTATAGCATCATGGATGGATCACACCAGAAGGCAACTCAACAGGCAAGTATCAAAGACAATGTAAGAAACTTAATTTATATTATTGAATATTACGAGATTAACAATCATAAAGAATTGGCTTTGATAGCACTAGATGCAGAAAAGGCTTTTGACAATATTAATTGGAATTTGTTCAAAATTCTACTCAGTGAATTGGATACCAAGGTATTATTATTATTATTATTATTATTTACAGTATTTATATTCCACCTTTCTCACCCCCCAGGGGACTCAGGGTGGATCACAATGCACATGTACATGGCAAACATTCAATGCCATAGACGCAGAACATATATTGACAGACACATAGAGCCTACTTAACCTTCCAGTTTCATGAGGATATGCTTCAAATTCCTCGGGGAGCTGTCACTTCACTGTCCACTTGTGACACCGATGGAGTACTTCCTCATTCCTTTGCATGCTGCTGGAGAGTTTTATGGTGTCGTAAATTAGCTAAATTTGCCTCCCCACATAAGCGGTACCTAAATTTCTGACTTGACAGATAGAATTGTCTTTCGGGCTGCAAAGGTCGATAGCAAGCTAACCAAATGGTCAGGAGCTTACTCCAGCCTGGGCTGGCTTCGAACCCATGGCCTTTCAGTCAGTAGTGATTTTAATGCAGCTGACTCCCAACTAGCTGTGTCACAACCCAGTCCTCTACTAGACAAGGTTGCACCTTGTCTTCTCTTATTTTCATATTGTCAATGGAAATACCACTAAACAATATCAGGGAAGATAAAACATTGAAGGGAACTAAAATAACTCAGCATTATAAAGTGAGAACAGATGATTTAATTTACATTGTGGAAGATCCTGTAGAGAATAAAAATAGATAAATATAATACACCAAAAAAATGGGATTAACCAAATATCACAAAGAAAAGGCAAGAAGAATGGAAAGAAATATCGGGACTACGAATTGCAAATAAAATTAAATATTTAGGTATTATGATTACAGCAAAGAACGCTCAACTTCTGAAAAATAATTATGAACTGAAATTGAAGAAAATTTAAAAGATTGGGAGAATTGGAAAAACCTAAATTTATCCTTATTGGGAAGAATCTCTGCTATTAAAATGAATGTACTCCCAAAAATCTTATATCTATTTCAAAATCCCACAATAAGACTCTTGTGAGGCCTGTAGGAAACTAGGCAAGTGAGGTTTATATATCTGTGGAATGTCCCTCCCAACCTCTGAGGATGCCTGCCATAGATGTGGACAAAACGTCAGAAGAGAATGCTTCCAGAACATGGAAAACTCACAGAAACCCAGTGATTCTGGCCTTGAAAGCATTCGACAACACATTGTGTTGTACTGCAAAATTAGTTGGCATATATGCATGGAATGGGAGAAGCATGTTCTTATGTTCTGCAACATCAAGTGTTAACTATCTCAGGCCAGTCTTGGTTAGAACATGGTACCTAGTACCTCTTATTCATCTGCATCTTAGTGAATGGATTAGGTGCTGCATTCAAAGGATCAGCACCGAAGGGGCCTAGGTTGTGTAAAGAGTCCATATCAAAAATGAAAACTATCTGTCATTTCCTTCTCACCACCAATGGAAGCTACTGACCGATTTTGATCAAAACATTCCTCCAGATTTTGGGGATGACTATATAAGGAAGTTGTGAAGAACCCTATGGCTCTGCAGACATTGTTGAGCTTCTAATGTCCATCATGCCCAAGCACTGACCATTTTAGATTGGTGTTTGATGAGAAGGGCAATTGGATTCCCGTCCATGTAATAAGCCAAAATGAACTATATTAATGCCGATGCAGGAGCCCCCGGTAGCGCAATGGGTTAAACCTTTCTGTCGGTAAGACTGCTGACCAAAAGTTTGGTGGTTTGAATCTGGGGAGTGGGGTGAGCTCCCATCTATCAGCTCCAGCTTCCCATGCTGGGGCATGAGAGAAGCCTCCCACAGGATAGTAAAACATCCAGGCATCCCCTGGGCAATGTCCTTGGGGACAGCCAATTCTTTCACACCAGATGTGACTTGCAGATTCTCAAGTCGCTCCTGAAACCAAAAAAATGCTGATGCACTTACCTGGAAGTGAATCTAGGACTGTAGCCAAAGCAGGCTTATTAGATCTAGGATTGAAAAGGCTGGGAATGAGAGATGAGATCAAAGAAAATAACTGAAGCAGTACGAGAACTGTATCTTGCTTTTCAGCTTCTCAAGTTAGATGCCATTCTCTTTTTCAATCTTTTTTTAACACACTCCCAACACCACTGCACAACAACAATGAATTACTGTTTAATCAGTCGAAAGAATAAAGGAAGAAATTGCTTTAAATAAATAACCCTTAGTTTTAAGTCAGGATTCAATCTAAAACAAAAGGATCATCTCCCAGCCTCCAAATACATACATTTATTCTTATTCATGTTCCAGAAGGATTTTGATGTTTCCCTCCCGAATCACTGGAACAAAATCAAAATAATATCTGGCAACCTTCACAACTGTGTTGTTCACCAGCCAAAAAAGAATCCATCAACAAAAACACACCAAAGCATTTGACAGCAACACTCAAGGACTTGTGCAAGATCCCTTAGAACTGTCAAACAGAGAGAAAACAACACAAATCTCCTACAGAAACTTCAAACATTTCAATCTGTGCTTTCAGTTAGCGTTGCTCTCCTTTGACCAAGGTCTTGGTTCTAGCCACACAACCTTGAATACAGAGACAGACAGCAATTGACAGAAGGACAGTCAGTTCAGTACAAAATGTTTCATCGTTTTATTTTGGATATCTATGCCTTGTAGGACAGAGTCCCAACAGAGTGGTTCACACAAAAATAAGCAATAAAAGCACAATGTATTACAATAAACAGAGATTTATAACACACCAGTTATAAGCAGAAATGCAGTTGCATGAAAATTGTTTAAGATCTTCCAAATTGAAAGTAATCAGTCAGGATGCACACATCAGTTTGGTGGCCTAATGGAGATACTGTAAGGTAGCGTTTCTCAATTTGGGAGTTGGGACCCTGAGGGGGTCACAAGGGAATGTCAGATGGGTCTCCAAAGACCAAAATAAAACACAGTATTTTCTGTTGGTTATTGCGGTTCTGTGTGGGAGGTTTGGCCCAATTCTATCATTGGTAGAGTTCAGAATGCTCTTTGCTTGTAGGTGAACTCTAAATCCCAGCAACTACAACCCCCAAATGTCAAAGGTCTATTTTTCCCAAACTCCACCAGTGTTCACATTTAGACATATTGAGTATTCGTGCCAAGTTTGCTCCAGCTCCTTCATTGTTTGAGTCCACAGTGCTCTCTGGATGTAGGGGAACTACAACTCCCAAACTCAAGGTCAATGCCGGCCAAACCCTTCCAGTATTTTCAGTTGGTCATGGGAATTCTGTGTGCCAAGTTAGGTTCAATTCCATCATTGATGGAGTTTAGAATGCTCTTTGATTGTAGATTAACTATAAATCCCAAATGACAAAATCACCCCACCCCCCCTCAAACCAAGCTGTATTCAAATTTGGGCGTATCGGGTATTTGTGCCAAATTTGGTCCAGTGAATGAAAATACTTCCTGCATATCAGATATTTACATTACAATTCATAACAGTAGCAAAATTACAGTTATGAAGTAGCAATGAAAATAATTTTATGGCCGACCGTCACCACAACATGAGGGGTTGTGGCATTAGGAAGGTTGACAACCACTGCTCTAAGGAATCCATTTGAAATGCATAGGGTTTCAACTTTAAAAAACCTTATTACAGAGCGATCATATCTGTATGAATTTTCACTTTGAACCACCAAACAAGCATCCCCACTTTGGTATATTCCACTTCTTTCTCAGCCAGTCCCAGATAGGACTGATAATGATGAAGAATGATGGGTGTTGTGATCTAAAATCTAGAGGACAGCAGTTTGAGAATGCTGCCAGGGATCTTAAATAATGGAAATATTTCTTTCTCTCATGTTTTGCAGGATTGATTTGCTTTCTTTGTCCACTTAGGTCAAAGAATGTACAACGCTGGGTTGTGAACTGTAATCTGAGAAGTTGGGAAGTATGGAGTCCTTAAATAATTTCTGCTTCTAGACCAGGTATYGTTAAACTTTGGCCCTTCAGGTGTTTTGGACTTCAACTCCCACAATTCCTTACAGCCTCGGGTTCCTTCCTTTTRGCCCTCAGCCGCTTAAGCGGCTGAGGGCGAAAAGGAAGGGGCCTGAGGCTGTAAGGAATTGTGGTAGTCCAAAATACCTGGAGGGCCAAAGTTTAACCATACCTGGTCTAGACTCTTTCTCTGAAGCTTGAGGTGGGAAACCTGATTTATTTATATCTGTGATCTGAAGATGGTTTAGCAGTTTAATAGCAGAGCTTCAGAATGTTATCTTTCGGGCTTCAACTTCTGAAATTTTCCCAACCATGTTCAAAAGTCATCTTTTTAATCTCTTTCAAAGGCTTTAAAATAAATTTTAGACAAAACTCCTGGAACAAGATAGTTTATTCTAAGACAATAATTGGATATTTAACCACAAGCATTCCATTCCATGTAAATTAAAGGGCCTACATATGCATTCGTGTCTGTTTGAAACAATCCAAAAACAACATAACAGTGAGACTGTTATGACTTTTCCTAAAGTATTTTGGGAGTAGTAGAATGCACAATATATAGAGTCCTCCGTTACAAGATCCCTGCCTTTGTTCCTTCTCAGAAAATTAAAACCAGACCATATTTGCAGTTATGCTCTTGATATAATATTTAGATGTGTGTGTCACTCCAAGATAAATGTCTACTCATTTGGTCCCACGCAGAGGAAAGATCTTGGATCAAAACCCTCCCAGCACATGCCAAGGTTAATTCATTTAAGACATCTTAGATTAAGACATGAAGACAGCAACATTTTATTGCATTTCGAAAACCCCCGAATCTTGATGTGAAGGCCCAGGAACATAGTCAAAGAATGTCTGTTGCCACCAGAAGAGAGAGGAAACATTTCACGGCCATGGGATGGGGCAGGTATGTTAGCAAAAGCAAGCATAAACTTGACTCAGCACTCACTGGCATCTCCTACAGAATGAGAAAGAACAAATCAGAAAGCAAAATGACAATGACAGTGATAAATGTCATCCTCATTTTGATAAAGCAATATGAGAATGACAAGGATAAAAAACCTGTGATCTGTGTTTCTCAACCTGGGGATCGGGGCCTGAGGATGGGGTCGTGAGAGGGTTTAAGAGAGGTCGCCAAAGACCACCAACAAACATATATTTCTAATGGGCTTAGGAACCCCTTTGGCAGAGAAGGCTAAAGATCTCTCCGCATATCCTTGTCTTCCTTTTGAGAAACAACAAATCCACCCACCAAAAGCCCTCCTCCAGTGTGATTGGCTGGCCTCTCAGCCAACCTCTCAGCCAAGGGGTTGGCTGTTTCTGAGACTCCCAAGTGGAGAGGGGAGAGCAGGTGTGCTCAGGACACTGCAGCGTGGTGCGCATGTGCAAAGCTGGAAGGAGCCTCCAAGACATGGGGGTTCTGTGTGGGAAGTTTGGCTCGATTCTATCATTAGTGGGGTTCATAATGCTCTTTGACTGTAGGTGAACTATAAATCCCAGCAACTACAATTCCCAAATGCCAAGATCTATTTCCCCGGAACTCCACCAGTATTCACATTTGGGCATATTGGTTATTCGTGCCAAATTTGGTCCAGATCCATCATTATTTGAGTCAATGGTGCTCTCTGAATGTAGGTGAACTACAATTCCAAAGGAGCCCCAGGTGGCGCAGTGGGTTAAACCCCTGTGCCGGCAGGACTGAAGACCGACAGGTGGCACGTTCGAATCCGGGGAGAGGCGGATGAGCTCCCTCTATTGGCTCCAGCTCCTCATATGGGGACATGAGAGAAGCCTCCCACAAGGATGATAAAAACATTAAAAATCACCCGGGTGTCCCCTGGGCAACGTCCTTGCAGACGTCCAATTCTCTCACACCAGAAGCAACTTGCAGTTTCGCATGTTTGTCATGGGAGTTCCATGTGCCAAGTTTGGTTCAATTCCATCATTGGTGGAATTTAGAATGCTTTTTGATTGTAGGTTAACTATAAATCCCAGCAAATAAAACTCCTAAATGACAAAATCAATCCTCGCTCCCAACCCCACTAATATGGTATTTGTGCCAAATTTGATCTAGTGTATGAAAATACATCCTGCGTATCGGATATTTACATTATGATTCATAACAGTAACAAAACTACAGTTATAAAGTAGCAACGAGAATAATGTTATGGTTGGAGGCCACGACAACATGAGAAACTGTATTAAGGAGTTGCTGCATTAGGAAAGTTGAGAAACACAGTTCTAGTTAGAGGCATATTGCTGTTTCCCTTGGTCCTTAGAAAAATGACCAACATCTCGAGGACTGCTAGTTCCTTGAGCATGTGTTAAATTTTTGCAGCCTATTCCAGAGTGAATAGGATCCCTGTAGTCCCCCCAGTTCCAGAACAACTGCTTACCTGCGAGAGGAGCCCTTGGTGCCACACTGATCTGGACGCTAGACAAGGAAAAAGGACACATTATGCTTGGTGAAATCACAACTGCAATGAACATTCTACTTCCCAGTTTCAAAGGTATAGCTTGTTTTCTCCATAGTCATGCCAACTATAGCCCTGTCCCTCCATAACCCTTCAACTTTGGGAGCCAACCATAATGGCCTGCAAGCTGCACACACCAACTCTTACAAGAGAATTATCCCCCTACCTGCTTCTCCTCTTGGGTTTGCATTTGCATTTTCCACCTGGAGGGAAAAACAAAGCGGAAAAGGGATCATGGATATATTGAAATGACATTGTCAGTGGCTTCTCAACTGCAGGATTTCTAAAAACACTTTTGCATTTGGAGGATAACAGGATATGCTCATGGGATCAGAGAGACCAGATTTGGGCAGAGGGAGAAGGATTGCTGTGACGGCGCGAGTGGCGCCACCTATGTATAGAACTGTTAGTTGTAAGACTTGAACTGTTGTATCATGCTTAATCCTGCCCCTTTTGCCATGTTTCTGTATATTTGTATGGATTGGTTATTTGTAGCTGTCAATCAGCACTGTTTGGCTCCACCTCTTCCTGCAAGAGGGGAGAACTTCCTTTTCTTTTCATTCTGCCATGAGAGTTCCTGCAACATGGACGTGAGTAAAAGACTTCATTCTAAAGGACCCTGTTAAGTTACCTCTTAGCATCAATTCTGAGGTTTTTTTTACCCCTGGGACTCATGCTGTATGTCCAGATCATCCTGGACGAATACTGAGGAGACCCAGGCGCCTTCAAGCCAGTTCTTTTGGCACCAGAGGAAGATCCTAAATCTTCAAAATAGGCCATTTGAACTGGGGCTGTGGTTTTGCTCCGGCATACTCGGCCATTGAGGAAGAGGAAATCTGGTGAGGCTTCTCAGCTTCAAACCCCCTTGGACCCAGGACTAATAGAGACTGTAAAGTGTGTTTTTCCTTCACCCTGCTAAAGTTTTCCAGTTTATTGCATTGAAGAAATGACTTTGTGACAAATAAAACTTATTTTGAGTTATTTACATCGTTTTGGGTTCTTGGGAGTTCCAGTTTCCTAAAGGAGGGCAAGAAGCAATCCCTTGGGGGAAAGATGCCACGTCCATCCTCCTTTTAAGACTAATAGCCCCCAAGCGTGACGGCACAGTGCTAAGAGAGTAAACACTCTTATTTATAAGAGTGCTAAGAGAAGCCTTCTTTTCCAGAAGTGCTAAAAAGGGAAAAGAAGGAGCCAATAGGGTCTTATTTTTGCCAAGCTTATAGTTTTCTAAAGAAAAAGATAGAATCAAAAGGAAGCCTGCCTTTGCCTGCAGAGGAGAAGCCCAGGCTTTACAAAGTGGACACATTTCCTGCCTTTTTGCTGCTCAAGCTCAGCAATTTGCTACAACCAACTTTTGCACCTCAGCCAGCTCCTTGCAAGCTTTGCAAAGTGGATAAATTGTAACAACCTGCCTTTGCAGCTGCTGCAAACAAACCTGCAAAGCTACTGTTATTTCTGCACAGTTTCCAGCTCATCCTTCTGCAGAGTATTGCTTTTGCACAGCTTCCAGCTCTCTGCAGGATTGATACTTTTGCAGGGTTTCCAGCCATCTTCTGCAAGCTACTGTTTCTTCTACAGTTTCCCGCCCTTTTCCAGAAGCAAGGCTTCTACAGTAATTGCAACATCCAGCCAGAAGCAAGCAAGCTTTTGCAAAGTTTCCAGCCTTCTGCACTTCCCGCCTTTTTTGCAGAGCCAGCCTTCAGCCCTCCAGGGTTGAGGGGTGGGAGGAGCCAGCCTTCTCTTGAAGTCTGCCCAGCAACAGTTCCTGAGAGCCTTCAATAGGCTAAACAAAGCAAGGTTTACCTTCTAAAGAAAGCAACTATTGTAATTGTCTTTTTTCAAGAATTGCATTGCCTTTTTGTGTGCCTTTTCCATTGTATGCTTAAATTCTATTGCATTTGTACTGTTTAAAGTGTGGGTTAAGTTTCCTTTGAATTTTGCATTATGGCAAGTCAAAACTTTGAGGTCCCACAAATTAGAGTCAAATCCTCCCACCCAGCGTCTTTAGATAGGGCTAAAGAAATTTCTTTTAGCCTACAAAAGAGAGGAGGTGTTACAGCGCGGTTCTATTTGAATCACAGCCTAGTTCCTTATCTAAAGGTCCAGAGCAAAGGGATCAAGGCTTCCCATGTGTAAGCCTTAGATCCAGTCTGCTTAAGCGTTCCTCTAAGGCTGCCAGCATTAGATCCAAACATTCGTCTAGGCATAGCATTTCCTCCCATTCCACACATTCATTTCTTAGTACATCTTCCAAAGCAGCCTATTACAACAGAGAGGCTGTCCGTTTGGAAATAAGGAAAGAGGTTTTGGAAGCAGAGGCGTCTGCGGAGATGGCTAAGCAAGGCCTGGCCTTTGACGAGGAGGAGCTCCTCCTTCAACAGGTCAAAGCCCAGCAGGAACTGCTTCTAGCACAGGCTAGGGCCCAACAGGAAGCTGACCTAGCACAACAGGAAGCTGACCTAGCACAACAGGAACTGCTTCTAGCTCAGGCTAAGGCCCAGAGAGAAATAGAGTTTGCAGTGGCAAAGGCCAAGCAAGAT